GGGGGGGGGGAATAATTGGGGGGGATTCCCCCCCCTTGCCCCCCCCCTGGCGCCGCCACTGAAAAAAGATGCCAGCCAAACTAAATTACTGAGGATCTTAGAAACAGCTTTAATCGACACCTAATAAATTGATCTATGTCACGAACCTAAAAAATACACAGGTAATATAAGAACAAGGTCCCCATGTTTTACTTTTTTACAGATGTATGAAGAAAGTAATTCATATAAGCGTTCTCTTGCAATGTATAACGCTGATATACGATTATTTCTTTAGGTTCAGCATACTAATAAATAAACTCTAAAAATTTCGGACGAATTGATTCAGTGTCAAGAACAGAAGAATTTTTAGTAATTACATATATTATAATAACTTACATAGAACAATACAATACACCCTTTCGATAATTACGTCAGAACTACAATGTTTTCAATTTAGGACCACCTTATTAAATGGAAAGGATTTCAAGTTTTTTTCTCATGGGATATGCACAGAGAAGCAGAACATCCCTCTTCAACACATGCATGAAAAAAAATGTTGGATTTTGACCATAAATATGGAAATAAGCAATAACACGAAAACAAGGCCCTCGTTTTCGTGTTAAAGCTTATTTCCACATTTATTGGTCAAAATAAAGAATTATTTTTCATGCATGTGTTGAAGAAGGATGTTCTGCTTCTCTGTGCATATCCCATGAGAAAAAACTTGAAATCCTTTCCATTTAAGGTGGTCCTAAATTGAAAACATTGTAGTTGTGACGTAATTATCGAAAGGGTGTATTGAAAAGTGGAATAAACCAACCGCATACCATGACCAGCCGAAAATATTGGAAGGTTTTATCAAAACAAGAGTATCATCAACGTAACGTTTGTAGAATTTTATAGTACCATCGGCAATCAACTCGGAAACTATTAATCTTTCAAATTCAGTTAAAATTATTTTACCTATAAGACAGGTCCTAATGATGAATCCATAGAAACGCCATCTCTTGGACATAAATTTGCTCGTCAAAAGAAAAGGCAGTTTTGTTGCAACAATCCGAAATGAATTTTTTCAAAGTGCATTTTTTCAAAGTGGTTACAATTAATTCGTATTTATAAATACGATCTAGAATAAAGAAAAAGCGGAACATTGGTAAAAAGGGATTCAACATCGAAAGAAACGAACTGGTAGCCTTCTTGAAACAAATGTTTGGGAATATTGTTAATATTGGTCACCGCATCATAAGAATATCAGAAAGAAAATGCATGAGCATTTAAAGTAAGAGGATTTAGTAAAGAAGATAAAAATTTTCAAACCTTGTAATGCGGAGTGTCAGTAGTGTCCACTATTGGTCAGAATTTAGGTAAAGTGTCAAATTTCTTGTGAGTCTTTCTTTGAACGTCAGTGTTCGCTATATTCACGACAGTCCGCTACATATTTTGAGAGCAGTGAGGATAACCAACCATGAACAGTGAACCATGGCCATGCGCCCGCGATTATTGATGAACTTTAGACTTTACTAGTGCGTTCCTTTCCCCGGGTGTAAATAGCCGGGCAGAATCAGTACCCTCGCTCCAGGCTTACGCCCGGACGCGCCGTTGGCTCGGGGATAAAACATTGTTGTAAATATAGCTAAATAATCCATTTTTAGCTTTTACTCATTTTACTCATTTCTTTATCATGTTTCGCTTCGCTTGGATAATCCTTCCTTCCGCCCACATGTATATGTAAGATGACTTTGAAATAGAGTCGAAAATTTACAGTCTCAACCTGCGTCTTGTGTTGAATCATATATTGTATTGTCAAGATCTAGTGTCTTTTCGAAATTGTTTTTTACTTTACCAACCGCATATACCTTTATTTGCTCCAGGTAAAATCATGGTTTTACTCTAAGAAGATGTAGAATTTCGCGGTTTTGGGTACTTTTTACGCTCAACATTATACGGATTATTATTCATTTTTTCGTTTTTCTAAACATGACAAAAACAACCTTAATTCAGTTTGGTTTACATGATATAACTATAAAAAGCACAGACAAAACTTGTTAATAAAATTCTAAGACTAAGTCTTGTGTATGTGTAACATGTAACATGTAGCATGGCTTTGGCAAAGTTAAACGAATTACTGATAAATATATATATAAAATAAATAACTGAGAGAAATCTAGAGTATTCACTCTAGCTTCTCTTCTGACTTTTAATCCACGAGCCAACGGCGCCGAGCGCCTCTCCGAAAGCCCGGGGCAAGGGTACTAATTCCGCTCGGCTATTTACAGCTGGGAAAAGGAAAGCATTAATAGTGAAGTCTAACGTTTATCAAAAATCGGCGGGCGCGTAGCTATGTTTCATCGTACGTGGGTAATGGTCAGTGGTAACGGTCGGTGGTCATCCTCACTAATCAATAGGTGCGAATTTTGTCTTACAAAACGTAATATAAAATAATTTGCAAGCTCCTCCCAGATTGCTTACACGATCGATCGATCGGTCACTGACACCGGATTGAATTTTTCTCACAACAATAGTGCAAAACAACTTTGCACTAAAAAATGACACTCTTTTTTGGTGCTATATTTTAACACCACTATTGATGGTGTTGATTTAACACTATAGGTATTGTTACTAAAACAACACCTATTTTTGGTGTTACATTAGCAATGGGCTAAGAGATGGGTTTTAGAGATTCCGGCTTTTAGTATTCCGGGTTTTAGAGATTCCGGCCTTTTAGTATTCCGGGTTTTAGAGATTCCGGCTTTTAATATTCCGGGTTTTAGAGATTCCCCATTTTAGTATTCCGGGTTTTAGAGATTCCGGCTTTTAGTATTCCGGGTTTTAGAGATTCCGCATTTTAGTATTCCGGGTTTTAGAGATTCCAGCTTTTAGTATTCCGGGTTTTAGAGATTCCCCATTTTAGTATTCCGGGTTTTAGAGATTCCCCATTTTAGTATTCCGGGTTTTAGAGATTCCGGCTTTTAGTATTCCGGGTTTTAGAGATTCCCCATTTTAGTATTCCGGGTTTTAGCATTCCCCCATTCCCCATTCCTTGTTATAGTAATAGCCATTAGCAATGCATGGTTTGTGGGGTTAATTTAACACCTGTTATGTAGTGCTAAAATAGCACCGGAAATGGGTGTTAAAATAACATTTTCATTTACCTTGTGGTGACAAGGTGTCAATCTAAGAGGGTCTCCCAGGGGTTTTGGGGGAACAAGGGAACACTGTAAATTTTACAATGGGAACACGGGAACAAAGGAAAACAAAATTAGGGAACAAGGGAACACGAAATATATTGGGGAACAGGGGAACAAAGTCCCTTTCCTAGAATATATACAAGTGGTACAATGGCCTAATGTATTGTAGGTGAAAAATGGGCATAATATAACGTTTTCTCCAATTTGTCCAACCAGCTAGTGTACTTGTGTTAGACTGTTCTACGGGCTGCTTGAGGATGATAAGTGAAGTTTCTCCTCTAGTCAGATTTTTGAGCAGCCATCATGACTTTTCTCCGTCACATTTTGCTTGCACCTGAAAAAGCAGATACCAACGGCAACGCCCTTCACAATCGACGCAGCAATCACCAGAATCGAAGAGGTATATGACTTCGATTGTCAGTGCATACATAGAACAAGTCAAAGCCTTCCTTAGAACAAATGCCCAGAGCCAAGGTCCGCAAGGAAACGTTTCTTCAGTCGTTGTGGAAGACGAAACAAGAATCTTTGGGAGAAATGCGAGGTCTGCTTCAAAAGTATGATCCACTGCTTTTGAAGTTGTTCAAATTTAAAGCCGTTTGACGCTGGTAGTCGAGAATTGTTTCTCCGAGATAAGGGCAGGGCATGTGATATGCCAATGCACTTGCAGTTCGACTTTCACTTCAGTCGAGCAATGAAGGAGCACTTGAATACTTCAACTCTACCAAAGATGGCCCCACCTTCAGCAGCACAGTTGACAAAGTCACAAGTGCAGCAAATGAGAGACTGGCGCATGAAGTATGGTCAAAGTGTCCCACAGAATACCGTGCGGAACATGAGCACTAAAGACAATCCGGGTACTCTGCCGATAAATCTCTATGCCCTGGTACAGCCAGCTAGCGAGCCTTTGGAATTCTCGAAAATTACAGAAAATGGTACCCAAACAGAAACACACCATGCCAACACGAACAACATTCTTCATTCCACTGGGGACGTTGTTTTTCTTGCCTCGTACGCCAATTGTGGGCGGATGATGATTTACCATCTACAAGAAAACGTTAGTGTTTCAACAAAGAAAGCAAGAGCCACCATTTTTGAAGGTGA